AGGCCATTCTAAGCATTTTATAAAAAATCGTCTCAAAATCATTTTGCATACGTTTTAGGCCATTCTAAGCATTTTATAAAAAATCGCGCACACGCGCATGCGCGCGCGTTTTCGCGCGTAAAACTATTACACAACATAGAATCGCCATTTTTTTCTTTCATAATATTTCACATATTTTTACAAACAATTTAATACCGTGTTTGTCTCTTTATGACTATTAATAACGGAATGATCGACCGTTTAACATAAATTTCTGTGCGTACGAGCTCTTGCATTACATAGAATATACGGACAAAAACATGCCTACACAAAATCCATTGTAGCTCTTCAGGATGCAAGGTCATCCTAATTCTTTTTTCATATTGTGATAGAATATAAATTGGAGATATGATTTCATGTCTTATTTTACCCTCAATTAACTCATGACGTCATCATAATGGCCTCCGAACTCAAAATTTCAATTTGCATATTATGTTGTCATCATATTTTTGGAAAATTGATTGTATCTCTGTAAATAGTGATTGATTTTCTTCCAAATTTTGAAATGTTCTAGCTGAGACAATTTTCTACAAATAATGTCATCACAATTGTTAATTTCGACCAAAACATTATGGCGTATTTTTGTGATTAAAGGAGGCATGTCAATTTTCACATTTTGCGTGTATTCTCTATGGGACATGATTTTTTTCTCAAAACTCGATTCTACATTCCCGTCTTTCGCGAGCAATATCTACGTTGTTTTTGCTTCATTTACGCTGAACTTCGAGTATGTTGTAGCTGAGACAAAAAGCTATCTCAATTGTACCCTTTATTTTGTCTCAATTTTTTGTTGGATCAGCCCACCTATACTTGTTCCAAACAAGTATTACAAATCTAGTTTATTTTTCTTATTTCGACCCACTTTTTTGTTAGCAAGATAACTTGAAAATGGTTGAATGAAATACCTTGAAATTTGGCACATATATGTATAGGCATATGGAGAAAACACAGTAAGGTTTTCAACTTTGACCTTGACTGATGACGTCATCTAGGCGCCGTTTTGTGAAATTTTCTGAAAATAAACTCATGATCATATCTTCATAACCAAAAGGTATTTCTCATTAATATTTATTATGATCAAGGTCAATATCAGTCCAGTCAATTTCAGGTCAAAAAACGCGCGCGTGCGCGTACGTCCGCGCGCAAAATTTTTAAATGCTCAAAATCGTCTCAAATTTTTTTTGCATACGTTTCAGGTCATTTTAAGCATTTTATAAAAAATCGCGTTTTCGCGCGTAACACCATTACAAAATATAGAATCGCCATTTTTTTTTCTTTCATGATAATTCTCATATTTTTTCAAGGAATTTGATTCCATGTTTATCTCTTTATGACCATTATGAACAAGATGAGCGTAAATTCCAGATAAATGTCAGTGCGCGCGAGGTCTTTTAATACATAGCATATATGGGCAAAAACATGCCTATACAAAATCCGTTATAGCTCTTTGGAATGCACCGGGATCCTCAATTTTTTTTTCATATTAAGATAGAGTATGAGTCGGAAATATGATTCCATGTCTCATTTGGCCATTAAGTGTATCGTGACATCATCACAATGGCCTTGGAACTCAAAATACGAATTTGCATATTATGACGTCAGCATATTTATGTAAAATTGATTGTATCTCTGTAAATATTGATCAATTTTCTTCAAAATTTCGATATGTTGTAGCTAAGACAATTCTCTACAAGCGCAGTAATAACCATTTTTTATTTTGATGACGTCATCATAGTGAAAATTTTGATTAAAGGCCTCATGTCAAAAACTTCATAATTTGCGTGTTATGCCTATAGAAGGTGAATTTAGTTCACGTTATGAATCTACATGATATTGTCTTTTAAGAATTTGTAAGCAGTATGTCGCTTATTTTTGCTCTATTTTGTCTCAAATGTTAGTTGACCAGCCCACCTATACTTGTTCCAAACAAGTATTATATGTCTAGTTTTTATTTATTGTTCCCACTTTTTTGTTAACAGGATAACTCAAGATCAGTTTAGTCAATTTCGTTCAATTTTGGCACAGTCATAGGTCATTGTCATGAGACGTTAGAGTAACATTTTCAAGGTCATAAAGTCTTCATGACGTCATCCAGGCGCCATTTTGTGTTATTTTTGGTACTTTTTACTCATGATCATATCTTCAAAACAGAAAGGCATTTCTCATTCATATTTATCATGATTAAGGTCAATATCCGTCCGGTCAATTTCAGGTCGGAAAACGCGCGCGCATGCGTATGTCCGCGCGTTAGCGCGCGCGCAAAAAATAAAAATGCTCAAAATCGTCTTAAATTCATTTTGCATACGTTTGAAGCCATTTTAAGCATTTTGCAAAAAAAACGCGCGCACGCATATGCGCGCGCGTTTTCGCGCGTAATTGCATCTTCCAACATAGAATCGCCAAATATTTTCTGTCATCATATTTGGCACATTTTTCCAAGCATTTTGATACCTTGTTCAACTTTTTCTGCCCATTAATAACGGAATGAGCGTCCGTTTAAGATAATTACCGTGCGTGCGAGCTTTTGTAATACATAGCATACATGGGCAAAAACATGCCTATACAAAATCCATTGTAGCGCTTTAGGATGCAAGGTGACCCCAAGTTTTTTTTCATATTTTGATGTAGTATGAATCGGAGATATGATTTCATGTTTCATTTGACCCTCAATTAACTCATGACGTCATCATAATGGCCTCCGAACTCAAAATTTTAATTTGCATATTATGACGTCATCATATTTTTGGAAAATTTATTGTATCTCTGTAAATATTGATCAATTTTCATCCAAATTTTGATATGTTCTAGCTGAGACAATTCTCTACAGATACAGTTATCACGAATTTTCATTTTGACGAAAGCATCATGGCGTATTTTTGCGATTAAAGGAGGCATGTCAATTTTTTACATTTTGCGTGTATTCTCTATAGGACATGACTTTTTCTGAAAACTGGATTCTACATTCCCGTCTTTCACGAGCAATATCTCCGTCGTCTTAGCTTCGATTTCACTGAGCATCGAGTATGTTGTAGCTGAGACAATAAGCTATCACTAGTGTGCCATTTATTTCTCGATCAGATGCCGGGATCATGCTCATATTTCACTTGCAAAGTGGGATTTGAGAAATTCATTTTCCGTTTACGTGTAATCGCTATGGGAAATGTTTTGGTATATCGGTAACGCACTTGACCTCGGACCTCGAGATCCCTGTTTCGAGTCCGGGAGTCTCCAACAATTTGTTTTCTTCATTTTTTTTTCTTTTTTGACTTTTCAATGATCATAAAATTGAAAACAGACCACCTAATTCGTCCCCATGACGAATTAAATTTCTAGTTTATTTATTCTTTATTTTTATTTATTGTTCCCACTTTTTTGTTAACAGGATAACTCAAGATCAGTTTAGTCAATTTCGTTCAATTTTGGCACAGTCATAGGTCATTGTCATGAGACGTTAGAGTAACATTTTCAAGGTCATGAAGTGTTCATGACGTCATCCAGGCGCCATTTTGTGTTTTTTTTTGGTACTTTTTACTCATGATCATATCTTCATAACGGAAAGGCATTTCTCATTCATATTTATCATGATTAAGGTCAATATCCGTCCGGTCAATTTTTAGGTCAGAAAACGCGCGCGCATGCGTACGTCCATTCGTCAGTGCGCGCGCAAAAAATAAAAATGCTCAAAATCATTTTGCATACGTTTCAGGCCATTTAAAGTATTTTGCAAAAATACGCGCACACGCGCATGCGCGCGCGTTTTCGCGCGTAATGGCATTTTCCAACATAGAATCGCCAAATTTTCTCTGTCATCATATTTGGCACATTTTCTAAGCATTTTGATACCTTGTTCACCTTTTTCTGCCCATTAATAACGGAATGAGCGGCCGTTTAAGATAATTACCGTGCGTGCGAGCTCTTGTAATACATAGCATACATGTACATGGGCAAAAACATGCCTATACAAAATCCGCTGTAGCGCTTTAGGATGGAAGGTGACCCCAAGTTTTTTTTAATATTTTGATAGAGTATGAATCGGAGATATGATTTCATGTCTCATTCGACCCTCAATTAACTCATGACGTCATCATAATGGCCTCCGAACTCAAAATTTTAATTTGCATATTATGACGTCATCATATTTTTGGAAAATTGATTGTATCTCATAAAATGTTGATCAATTTACTTCCAAATTTTGATATGTTCTAGCTGAGACAATTCTCTACGAATGCAGTTTTCACGGATTTTCATTTTCACGAAAGCATCATGGCGTATTTTTGCGATTAAAGGAGGCATGTCAATTTTTCACATTTTGCGTGTATTCTCTATGGGACATGACTTTTTCTCAAAACAGGATTCTACATTCCCGTCTTTCACGAGCAATATCTCCGTCGTTTTTGCTTCGTTTTTGCTGAGCTTCGAGTATGTTGTAGCTGAGACAATAAGCTATCAACAATGTGCCATTTATTTCTCGATCAGATGCCGGGATCATCAGACCTGCCAACCTCTGGAGTTCAAAAACTGTATTCTTTAATCCCAAAAGTTGTATTTTACTGACAAAAGTTGTATTCTTACAAATAAACAAGGACTGTTACGCGGATCAATGCCTTGTACAGTTCCTTCATACAGGAAGAATTTTTTTAAAGGATCATTGGTTGAATATGCATGATTTCGTCACGACTGGTGTGTTCGATGAACCAATGAACATCCCCAAATTGCCTATGTGAGATGCTTGTAGGATACTTTACAGGACAGGATTGGCATTTTACCATTGAAATTGGCACACATACACACATAATACTATTTTTAAAAATTATTTAAAAAAGAAGGAAAAAAAAGAAAGAAAAATAAAAGAAAACAATTTTTTTTTTTTTTTTTTTTTTTTGAAAATCATATTTTATTGAGGAAAATCGTACTGTCGTATTTGCTTCTAAAAATCGTACGAAATACGACTAAATCGTACTGGTTGGCAGGTCTGCTTAGGCAACTTTACATGGAATTGCTCTAGCGTGTTTATATTTACCTGTTTTACTAGCTACAGCAGCATCACCACCGTTTGATTTCTCATCTGGCGCATCAGGTCCTCGTTTCTTTTTCTTATTCCTCTTATTTGCAGACTGGGAATAGAAAGAGAAAGAAATGAGAAAGAGAGATATCAGTTAGAACTTTGTGCATATAAATGTAAATGTTTTCATCAGACTTTGAATCAAGTGAGTGCTTACAAAAATAATATGAATTTTAGTTTACATGCATTTATTTTGCCCCTGGTGTTTCAATTCATTGCAACGTACATGTATGGGTCTAGTTTGACAGAGTGATACTTTGCTACTCCTGCTCCCCCCCCCCCCCTTCAAACCTATTTGACCTTGGCCTACATGTATGTGACATTAACACTGAATAAAGTGTCTCAGGCCATATTAAACTTGTCGCACATTTGACCTACAAACTGACCTCTTCACTTCCCTCTATATTGAGGCAAACTGAACCGATTTTAAAATTTGTATCAAGGTAATATTCTAGTCTGCTGATGAGAACCAGAAGCATATTGACTTTGTGTAAAAGTATCATGTATGATTATACACTTCTGGGCAATAACAGATAATATGATAGGAGGATAGACAACAACAAAGGAACAAAGCAGAAATTTCTTCATCAACAAATAATAATAATGATAATAATATTTCGGGTTTAGACTTGAGTGCTACAGTACATGTACATCAACAATAATAATGTTGTACTAATAATAAAAACGGTACTTAAGAAGCTTATGTCAGCGCTTTATAGATGATAATATAAATTATTATCCCGGCCAGGAGACTTACATGTAGGCTTGCCCACACAGAATGTTTGCACATTCTCTACTCCCAGGGGAGCATTCCAGCCAGGCGCCATTTTATTGACACTCACAATGCTGAGCAAACTATGATTTTCACATTGTACAGGGTACCCACTTAATAACACCCTGGTGGAGAGTGGCAAATGTCAAATGACGTTTAAGTACCTGGCACGGATTCGAAACTTCAACCTTGCATTGAATGTCAAATGAATAAACCAACATACCACAACACCTCCTCAAACAAACAAGTACTCAATGAATATAACATTGGCTGAAATTCATTGTCTTGTTTTTCAGTTCCTCTTGTAATATCCACAGATGTTTTGTGAGTGCCTGAAGTACACATGCACTTCCTGCATATTTGAGGAGCCAGTTTGAATATGTACATTAGTAAACATATGGATTATTGAGGAGTTTGTCGCACGAATATCACACCAGATGTCATGACAAGTAAACTTCAATAGACATGGGAAAAGCAGAAGTGAGAGCCATATGTACATGTATGTGTTTGTCATTTAAAGGTAAACATGTAGAAATCAAACTCAAACTAACTCTGTTGAAGCATTTGAACCATAAAAGTGCAAGTATTTTCAATAAAATACATGTACATGTAAGGTATGAATGAATTTCCATCTCAATGACAACTAAGTGAAAAGAGTCAAAGTTACTGTCTCCTGACTTTCCCTCATTTTCCGGCACTAAGACCCCATTATTAGATCTCCTTCTACATTTAGTGCTGGCTTATAATGCTTCTTGCACTATCGCAATAGTTTGGGTTTCTTGGTTCATGGAGCGTCTTGCTTGGATGGGAGCACTCTGGAGCGCATTAGGATAGTTAGGGCCATTTCAAAGGGTTTATTAGTCCCACTTTCCCCAAATACTTGTAAAGTTTGGTTCCCTCAAAGTTTAAGGTACGGTATTCAAAGGGAAAGTCCACCCTGATATTAAGGTAATTTTGATAGAATCAGAAATATCAGAGGAACAGGGCAATGAAAGTTTGAGCAAAATCCGATTTGGGAATATTTCCCATTTTCTTTGGTATATAAACTTTCATTTTCTTAGTTATTGATGATGGAAAAGATGTTTCATATACTAGGTGTATAAAAACACAGTTGTAACTATTGAGGGTGCATTGTATGACTGGAAATTAGTTTTGGGGAAAACTAAAGTTCTTTGTTAGTACAGAGCAAATGAGAGGAGACCTTACAAGATACATCACAGAGTTACCAATATGTGTTTTGACTGATCGCAATTTCAAAAATTCATAACTTTCTCACTTTTAATGAGATTTTGCTCAAGCTTTCACTGACCTGTTCCTCACATTTTTCTGCTTCTATTAAAGGTTAAGACCAGTATTGGAAACGCCCCAATTTCAAAAAATGAAATGGAAGCTCTCATTACCAATCATGTGAAAGAATATGTTTTGACTAATACATGATGATAGAAAATTTGCCGGGAAATTTATATATTTGGTAAATTTGTTTCTCTCATGGACTGTGAGAGATATAGGGTAGTCCCATATACATCTTTCTGTGTATAGTGCTTGTAACTTTACAAAGAATGTGCCAAATTTCTTATCATTTTGATGATTCCAGAACCTTGCAGATGCTAGATGCTAGATGATCAACCTTTTCTGATCGATTCCACAACGTTTCTTTCACAATGCAATCGCATGACCATAACTGGTCTTTACCTTTAAAACCAACTTCATATTAGGGTTAACTTCCCCCTGAATATCTAATTCTGCCATGGATTCAATGTGCATGTTTCAGACACCAAGGCAGAACATGTGTCCTCTTGATGATATCAAACGGGATGGAACTGAAAGGGCTTGCAAAGGTCAACGATATGTTTCAAGTTCATGACCTCCCCAAATTCACTGATTCAATGTGCGGACTTTAGAGAGAGGCAGGAAGCCAAGGAGTACACCAGGGAATGGTCATTGCAAAAACGTGCTGTGAAAAAGTCTCCAGTAGCCTTGACTTTGCTCCTGGTGAGGTATTAGAAACATCCTTTCACTGGTGTGACATGTGTCGGGGGAACATTGGATGAAAAGATGCCAAAGAAAACAAAAATACAAAAGAAACAGATGACCTATTAAATGTACATGTACATGTACAGTAGGCCTAAATGTATCGCAATGTACCGTGTGGAGGAATAACTGCGTGATCAATACAGTGTAGAGAAGTTTGCCTTGCTAGGTGTACTATTGGGAAACCTTCAAGTTCACAACATCATGGATGTATACAGTTCCACATGCTCATGACATACAAAAGGATCACCTTGATGGCTGTTTTATAAATGTGTTATGCATACAATGTACCTATGGCCTTCTTGGAACATAATAGTTGGGTTTAAATGGACCATGAATGAATAAATGCACACGATTGAAAATATTTCTTTAAAAGGGGAAACCAAAAGGGTGTGGTAAATTCTTGGATAATAACAATTCCCATACTGTGAGAACTTGTCACCTATACTTTACCGGGGTACATAAAAAGTCATGCATATTTTCCAAATTGATATCGACATATACTGCTAGTTTGCTTTAACCACCACCTACAGTATATGGCAAATGACAGGTCCCATACTTTAACCAAGCAACTTTAAAATCAAAAGTTATACATGTATTCCAAGTTCGTTTTGCAAACGTTTGTACAGTAGTACCTTTCCTATATATGTTTAGCTGCTTTTCCCTATTTGTATTTGGTAGAGGTACATGTACGGAATGACGAAAATCAAATCATGTCCTACCAGCAGTGTAAATATGTACATGTATTTTTGTTTGAGTACGTTTGAGATTTGCTGCTGTTCATTTCCTTTTCTATCGGCTAAGAGCTTTTCTATCTCACATTGTGTAAAGCCAGGGTAATATATATTATGCAGTGCAACCCTGGGTAAACTAGACATACAGTATCATTGTTTTTTTTGTATTATCACTTTATTTTGCACTGCCTACTTCTACCTCTTTGTGAAGCGAAATGCGCAATCTAATGAAGTATACCTTGATGGAAAAGAGGGAAAATGATTCAGTGATCTGCATGTACATGTATTGACATTATAATTCAGAGAGGAATATTTGAAGCTGAGACATCCACACTTACCTTCTTGCCATGCGACTGCCACTCATTCAAAACAGTTTTGGCTCCATCTAACAAGAAAATAAAGAAAGAAATTGAAAATTACATGGCTTTTTAAATACTCAAGTAATTTTAAGGATAGTTCATGCAATGAGGTATGTTGTCACTGTCATAATTTGAATGTTTATGAAGGTTTATGAAAATGTTTACACTTTACAGTATTCAAAGTTTAGAATCTCTTAAAGAATTGTTCAATCTTTGGAAATTGTTACCAACCTTAAGTAAAGTGTATTATATTATTGACAGTTTGACACCAAAATAAATTTATACCAACCAAATTGGTATGGCGATTGAACCATTCTGCAGAGTCGTTGTGAAAATACTTGAACAGGGTACATTGGTATTTTAAACATGAACATGTACCGACAGAGCTTTTAGACACCAGGGATAAATATAGTGGTAAATTAATTCCTTCTTCATAACAAACAAAAAATGTATGGTAATTCAAATTGAGTACAATGTTACCAGCAGTCACCGTAAAATGTTTAATACAAACTAATCAAGTACACTAAAACTGAAATGTGCAATGTTTGCGATTTTTCTTTTTTTACAAACAAGTGCAAAGGATTTTTTAGTGGTGCCATGTGTTCAAAATACATGTACAGTATGTCATCAAACACAATGTCACAAAATCAATAAACACGTCACTTTAATGTAACTCATTATAACCATGCAAATAGCTACATGTTCCATGTTTGAATACATTATAATCTTGTGTATAAAAAAGTGTTAAGCACTCAAATATTGTATGATGGGTTTACACTTGCAAAATCCATCAATTGGCAACATGTTGAAAGGTTCATAATCATGTTGTATTCAATAAAAATTGGCCATTCTTTTAGTTTTCAACAAAGTTCTTACCCATGTACCGGTATATTGTTTTCAGATACGTTACATTTGAATATACTGTTAAACAATGCAACACTATAAAGAGAAAAATATTATTGTTGCAAATTTGAAGAATAACAAGATTAATTTAGCCCTTTAAAATTCCTGTGGTGACAGGGTAAAGCTACCTTTAAGCACTGTCGTATAATTCTACAAAACATTGGGTGCATGTTATGCATGTATATTCTAGCCATTTTTTACTTAGAGAGAAATGGAATCGATATTGTCAACTTGTTGATTTCCTCCTATTATAACCATGCCAGACTTCAACGAAACATACAACAAAAAAGAGATGCATTTTATGCATCAGACTTCAACAAAGTTCAATGACATGAAAAACATTCAAGTCAGGCAGTTCAATGAAACACATCCGAACACATCAAAGCACTTACTCTTGATCATTGCAAACATGCAACTGATGTGTAGGCTGTTACCATGCCAACCATTACACAGTTATTCTGTCAAGGTCCCAAATATCTTGATGTCACAGCACATTGCAAATTTTATTGAATTTGGCTTTAATAATTTAATGCAAACACTGACAGATTCTTGGACTATGTATTTTACCTTCCAATGATAAGCCTACATGTACATGTACATTTGAAAACACAAAAAGGAATGTCTACTGTTTATGTACATGTGTATGTACAGATCTATGTACAGTAGATGCAGGCCTGTGTACTCTAGTACTCTTTTCACACTGGTTTTGCTTAACCCCGTACTTTGCTTAGCCCCGTACTATCCTTAACCCCGGACTATTTTTTTTGGCTTTTCACACACACTGTTTGTAGTCCCGTACTAGCGCCTATTCTAGAATAAGAAAATTCCCGCTGTTCTCACTGCATTTCGTTAACCCCGGATATCATGAATGTTATGATTGGACATACCTCGCATCTGGCCAGCTGCGATACGCTCCATTGCGTAGTACCGGACTATTTTCGTTTCTGTTCTCATTCATTTGCTTAGCACCGCAATTGCGGGGTTAGCAGGAGTTAGCACCACAATTGCGGAGTTAGCCCTGCTATTTTGCAGGGTTAGTTAACCCCGTACTATAGGTGGGGTTAGCCAACTTTAGCCCACTTTGGTAAAAACCAGTCTGAACAGAAAGTGGAATAGGCTTAACCCTGTACTATAGGTGGGGCTAAGACCCCCCCCCCCCCCTTAACCCCACCTATAGTACGGGGTTAAGCAAAATATTGCCAGTGTGAAAACAGTATAGGTGAAGTATAATTCTACATGTGAATATCAAGCTTAAATGTGTACGTACAGTACATGTAAATGTAGGACTACCGGTAGATGTTATTCTCCTAAATTTATTTCAAAATTTCTTTGATTACATCACATGTACGTACATATACATGTACCTTTGTACCTCTGTGCATTTTATTCTTGAAACCCCTGTGCAACAATTGCATACACACAATAGGTCAAGACACTCTTCTTGATACAAAAAAAAGAACCAAAATGGAATAAATGTCTATGTCTACAACATATATTGTCCTTTATAATGTACTTACAGTATAACATTTTTTTAAATAAATTATGGACATGCAAATGTATGTTTATACATCGATGTACATGTAGAGGGCTAGAGCGACACACTCAAACTACACAGAGACTCACAATGATCTTATCCCCAGAAATTACAACTAATCATATACATTGTGTGCATGGCTCTGATCAAGGGCACTATAGTGTTTACATATGAGGTGAATTTTAAAAGTCAATTATAGACTGTGGCTATTTCAAGGCAGACGAGAAACGGCTAACGAGAAGCAAGCACTGACCGCAGAATCAATATTATTAACAAAAGCAACGAGAATATAATGACAATAAAGGTAATAATATAATATATAAGGTCTTTGTTAATAAAATAATATTTATAAAATAATATCGTCCGATGACAGAGAGCTAGAATAAGAATGATGAATAATGATAAACAAATAATTTTGAACGGAAAAAATGAAGAAAAACAATGAACAAGGAAAAAGAATGATAGAGCAATGGAAAAAGGGAATAATAAAAGTAATAATAAAAAACCTTATGATGGCAAGGAAGAAGAATCAGGATGATGAATAATGTTATTGTTTAGAATAAGATTAGGAATTAAGTTTGATTTTCATAAAATAAAAGTTAATAGTATTAGACTACAATTATGCCGGACCTTCTTTATTCAACTTCAAGAAGCAATTATTAATATTTAAAAAAAAAACATTTAAAAATAAAATTGTTATTACATTTTCTATTAGATCTAGTCTAGACTTCTACTTTTTATTTGTTTATTATTTATATATTTTTTCTTTTTGTTCAAGTTGGTATGTTCTGTATTTTTGCGTCGGTTTGACCTGTATAATCTAGTCACAAGTCGCTATCATGAGCTGCCGAGAGCTAACTAGAGGGGGATTGTACTTGAGCTTTTCCAGGCCACATAGCTATGGCCATCGGGAAATATCAATCGAAAGTCTTCAAAACTCATAAAAGCCTTTAGTTTTCGACGATCATAAATGCATGGTCCGCCATATTCTCTACTAGATAATTGAATACGTCATAGGTCCCAAAGTCAGGAATATCGTCAAACTTAAGGGAGGTATGTAACTAGTTCACTTAACGAAAATCCTGCCCGTTGTAATTTCCCCATACAGTCACGTCTACCGAGTGACACGGACCCCGTAGGTCATGGGCTATGGGCAGGCTAGTCCGCTACTGCGGACGCTAATTTAACGAGTCTTTTCTCGGGTGTATACCGTAGTCGAAACTCCTCTTTTTATTAGAAAATATTGCAGCTGCCTGAAACTCAACTTGATGAATGGCAAGTTGGAAGACATTTCCGGCCAAAACAGAAATTCATATATATATACACGCAGTTTTGATAGAAAGATATGAATGCAATTTAACGGCAAGAACCGACAGTCTAATACACAATGCACAGATTCAAAATGGTGATTTGACAAAGCTTGTCGGGCTTGGTTACAGTAACCGCGCATTACGTAACCGCCGAAACTGGCCTATTGTGTTTAAGTATCAAATGAGAGTCTGTGCCTGCAGACTATTAGATTGGACATGTGGACTAGACTCATTTCAAGAGTTCCACTAGTCTATAAACAACAGAATCTACAGGAACACATAATATCAAGATTAGGGAAACAGAACTGTAGAAATAACTGGTAGCTACAAACATGTACAAGGCACATGTACTCAACTTTCAGGTTCATTCCTACACTTTAATTTAAGGCTGTCTTGTACCAACTAAAATCAAAGACAAACAACAACAACAAATAAACAAACAGCAAACAAAAATGCAGTGCACAGTAAACATTTGTGTATTAAATGAACTGCACAAAGTAATATTTTTAGGCCTGTAAAAACATTACTGTGAAACAAAAATTGCCTGTACATACACTCACTTAATAAAGATCTAGTGATCAACTGGGTAACATGAATATGCGAAGCGCTACAGTACACTTGTCTCATTCACTTTTTCCTCAGCAGTTAAATTAAAAGAAAAAGAGGAGGATGTGGAGGGGATTTGTTCATTAATTTCTTCTGTTTTGTGTGTTTTTTTTCCAAGCAGAACCAACTAATCATTTCTTTTTTTCTTATATTTAGTTGTTGATGTGTACCTGAGCTGATTCTTGAAGATGGCCAATTCCTGACCACTAAGACTCTATCAGAAACATTAACAAACACATCTCCTCGTCATCCTCCTCTTTTTCTTTTAATTGGGAAGTGATTAAAACCACTTTTCTGCTTTTTATTAAAATTTGAATATACAGTGTACATGTATACTGTACATGAGCAACACATTTTGGGCAAACCCTCCTTGAAGATCTACAAAATCGTCATTCTGTAGAGCCACTTACTGACATGAAGCCTACAGTACATGCCCTAAAGAGTACTTAAAGGCATTTTTTCACAAGTAACATTACAGTACATAATAATAATAATAATATTTAATTTTTATATTGCGCTTAATACTATGTCTCTAAGCGCTTTACAAATATACTATTACCCCAAAGATAACATATTTCTCAAATGTGATGGAGCTTACAATAGAAGACTAGCAGAAAATTACCATTTTGCAGTATGGCACTAGATATTATGTTCCTGCATACCAAAGGATATTACATGTACATGTAGTTCTTTCAAAGTCGGGAATGTAAGTTTTATTCTTTCACATTTATATTGACTTTTGTCAGAGGTAAAGAAACTTTGTGTACATTGCATCTGCTGACGTATTACGCCAAGTACAGGTATTGTAAAGTACTGATCCTCATCAATCTCTTTCATCATTCCTTAATTCTTTATGCTATTCAAGTCAGTGTTGAACATATGTGAAGGTATTTCATCATTTCATACATGAGTGAGTATTACCAAGGTCACTAAATGTTATACAATCGTACCAGGTACGCAGCTTTTATACATCACATTAATATTATAATAGAGGCCTATAATAATTTTGTCTTCTCCAAATTCGTTCAACATCCATGACCTCGACAAATTACTGAGATTTAAATTGAACTGTATTCACTTTGCATGGAAAAAATATTCGAAAGTTGTTATTATTTTGTTTTTTCCTTTTCCAATGAGGATCTTACCTTCCATGAATGACTGTACCGCTTTATCCACATTTCCCTCATGGCATTGAAGAACCAGTGCAATATCATCTCTACTACGGGTAGGAACAAACTCACGGACTTTGGCAATCTGGGTGAGATTGGAGATATAGTAAAAAATTATATAACAATAAAAAAAAACATTCACACCATGCACATCTGATTTTAATGACGTTCTCACTGAACTTCAACAAACAATCTAAATTGGAATGATATGTTTGAGTACATGGTTACAAAACATACTGTTGAAATCTTAGATAGATGGGGCCATTTAGAGGAAGAAGCAATGTAACTGTGATTTGTATCTTTGCATGCCACTCACGACACTCAAAATGACCATTCAAAGTCTCAATACAGTTGAGACAATTGCTCCAGGCTTTATTTCATCAAAGAGATGGGGTTGGGGTTTCAATTCGGTTTTAGGATAGGTATAAAGGATTGGCTTAGGTTTAGGGTTCAGTGTACATGTAGTATTTGGTCCATGACTGAAATTAGGAATTAAGTTCTGTAGTATACTGACAGAAGAACAATTGTCACTGGAGCAAGTCTTTTTACAACCTTTGCAAAGGAGGAGTTCTGACATACATTTGTAGGATTAGGAATAACGGTATAACAAGTTTCACAAACATGTGCATGTACATGTAGGAGCGGAACAGGAAGACTTGTTTCATAGGATGTGATCTACTTCCCATCCTACTTCTTGAATATCTAGGCAAAAATGTTAGTGGCTGGGTCACGAGGTCAAACCATGGTTACAAGTTCATCCCTTCTCTCTCCCTCCCTCACTCTCTCTCTCTTTTACTCTCTGTCTGTCTGTCTGTCCGTCTGTCTCACTCTCTCTCTCTCTCTGTTCTCTGTTTGATGTTTTCTCTCTCTCTCTCTCTCTCTCTCTGATTCTCTCTCTCCCTCTGTCTCTGTCTGTTAATCTCTCTCTCCTTCTCTCTGTTACACTCCCCACCCTCCTTCCTCTCTTCCTTTTCTCTCTTTCATTTGCTCCAATTACAGATTTTTCATTCACTTGTTGAACATGGTTGTCAACACTCAACAAACATTTCACTAAAACTACATGTAATTGAACTCTTCATGCATTGCATGAACAGTTTGCTTAAAATACATAAGATTTGGGTGAATCCATAGCAATTGTTATAAATGATTTCCTATAAGTGTTTTTTTTTTAGGGGGATGGGGGGCACACTGATGGCTTCAAGGCAGACTCATTTCCGTAAGCTTACGACCTGTATTTCACCCAAATTCAATCATTAAAATTAATCTCTGGTGATTGAAATGTTCTGCTACATGTATGCAGCAATTTGACGAAAGTAATAGAGGTGTGTTAATTCTTTCTGATACAAAATGACTATCAAAAAATCATATTCAGAAGCTACAATTGTATACATGTAGTAGAAAATAATGGCACAAATATACCTGTTCCTTGAAAGCTTCTTGTGCGTGTCTTGGTTGGTCAGTCATTACTGCTTTTGTCCTTTCATCAATGAGTAAAATTCCAGAGTCTTTACCGTCACCTGTACACAAGAGACATAGAAATCAAATTGTTAAAAAAATGTCACAAACCTCCTAGAGATGGGATGGGTAAGCAGTGAACTCCACTAAAAGTATAAGGAGTTCAGTAAACTGTATGCCTGTGCACAGGCGCGTACGCAGGATTTTTTCAAGGGGGGGGGGGGGGGTTTGAACATTTATAAATCGGGCCGAAAATTTCGTAACGACTCAGCCCACCGCTGAATAAGCGGGGGGGGGGGGGGGGTAAGAGGACACTTTTTTTTTTTTTTTTGGTCACAAAAAAAATCGCTACGACTCAGCTGACCGCTGAATAAGCTTTTTTTTTTTTTTTTTTTGACCTCGAAATTTGAAAATTTGACATTTTGCTCCGTTGGGGGGGGGGGGGGGGGTAGGGTCACCTGTTTTTGGTCAGTCATGGGGATAATTTTTTTTTTTTTTTTTTATTTTAATAATTAAACAAAACAAAAAATCCAAAAGGGGGGGGGGGGGGGGGTTTAGGGGGGTTTATACACATAAAAATACCAAAGGGGGGGGGGGGTTTACCCCCCAACCCCCCCCCCCTGCGTACGCGCCTGCCTGTGCATACATTACATGTACCTGTCTCTCTCTCGCTATTTCAAAAGTGGCTTTGGCTCCAACAGCAAAAGAGAGATGCTCAATAGTCTTGATCAACATCCAAAATCAATATGGTTATATATAGGCATATTTCTATACAGAAGTTTTAGATCAAAAAATTAAAAATACTCCAAATTTCAATGGTTTCAGTGTATTTTCACATAATTCAGCGCACTAAAAAAATGTCTGATGACATGTAGGCCAACTAAACATGAACAGTACGTGCATCCTCCTCCTGCAACCTGGCAATGCCGACATATACAAGACAGGGCTTGCTAGCTAGCTGCACTGTGAGAACGAAAACTGCTGCAGTCACCTGGTTTTGATAGACTCTACTAAACTCAGGGACTCGATCGAAGCAACAGCTGGTTGTTTTGACGTAAATCAGTGCAGGTCTGTAGAGTGTTCGTTCGTGTTATGAAAAGCAAATATTAGCTGTGGGTAAGCTTACTGTAGGGCATGATTGATGCACAAACAAATGCAATGGATGATTATTAAAGATATCTTCAGCATGAAAATGAATAAGACAATAATCCCATGCCCCATTTAGCCTACATACATGTACATGTACATTTTGTGCAAGTGAATGCAGCACTTACACAAGGCTGTGTTTTTTTAATTGTTTTAAAGTTGTTGTTTATTAATCAGAAACATGCTTTCACCATGGTAATTTTCTCAAAGTTGTTTACAGTAACCAGGCACGTAGCCACGGGGGGGGGGGGGGGGGGGGGGGCACGGGGGGCACGTGCCCCCCCCCCCCTAAAATTTCCAGGATCGGTTGAAATTTTGTAGACCCCTTTTTTTGACCTCGATCGATTACATGTATGTGCCCCCCCCCCCCTAAATATCAAACTCTGGCTACGTGCCTGACAGTAACACCAGTGGCCACTGTGGCATAATAGGAATAATTGTTCCTGGTGCAAACAATTAAAGTGCGATAATTTTGTTAATATCCATAGGAGAGATATTTCAATAAGCAACTGTGGAATCATGTACTGTACATTCCACAATAAATGCAAAACCATTTAATTGAAGCAAGAAAACACATAAACAATAAAAACGTTTTTAAATGTGCCAACCCTGTGCTTACATACATGTATGTACATTACATTGTACATGTATTTACTTGTTGCTATCAATTTCCTGGTAATTTTCACTTACCAACAGGATATTCATTTCTAGAAGTTTAAAAATAGTTCATGGCATGCACTGTAGTCCTTCATGTTCACATTATTCAAAATAAAGGATGAGAATATTTTGACTCATATCCAATTGTGATTTAAATGTAACTAATATGAACGTTTTTTCACACCACAAAAAGTCTGTTTATCAACTTTCATGTTTTTTCTATTTTAGCTTATTCAACCTTGCACTGCTCATATAACAGCTTTACAGCCAGGTTGCACAACCCAAACTTATGTCATTACAAATCAATGCTCCCGCAGGTAAGTCTAACATATATAACCCAAACAAGTGGGGGCAGAATGCCTGGCTCACCTTGGGGATGCCCTGCCCTTTCAAACAATGCTACACTGCTTCAGCAACTTTCAATAGGCAAAATGCAAGTAAAGATGATAGATGAACAAGTACATACATTTACCAGTAATTGTGCATAACAGGAATGGCATATATGATGAAGATAAATAGCGTTCAGATGAAAACTCATATCGCCGAATGGGCTCCAGCCAATTCTTTCAAAGTTGAGAAGATTTAAAAATGAATACTGAGGGCATCAAGAGATGCAGCATCATAAACTTTGGCCTGACCTCTTTGACAATCAAGGCATTGTTTCAGGAAGCCGTCAGAAGTCAAGTTCACCAACATCCCAACGAGTGTTGACTTTAACACACATTACAATGGGTTGTCGGCAAACTTGTACAATTACATACAGTATTAATATTATATAATATATAATATAACAAATACAGCCTTACCTACTTGAGAGTCAAGTAGCTGCCAGCTTCTGCAAGGCTAAAAAAACACAATAAGAACATAATCAGCAACCTTTGATTCAGATAACAAAGGGTGATTTTATGGTAATCAACAAACAATGCACACATAAATCTCAGAACATGCTTAAAATTATAAGGTGGTACATGTTCCAATCTTATATTTAGACCCTGTTTTAAAGGGGTCAAATTACCATTAAATAGTTTAATTGACCTGTTTGCTTGGGTTCCATAACAGCTTCAATGCAAGTTTGATAAAGCCTCGGTCACAAATGCCATTTCGAACTGCCACGAACGCCGTACGATCGATTTTCAGACAATGGACATTCGGGAAGACAATGGAAAAACAGGGAGATTCGTACGAAATTATCGTTCGTACGAACATTTGTGACCGTAGCATAACAAATAAATGCACTGAACCATGAAATGGAAAATTATCTGTGCTGGACACTATGATGTAAATACATTCTTAATTGAATGGGGAGCACTGTAGATTTGAAATTTACATCACCTTACATGAATTATTAAGCAGTAAACCCTGAGTTTACGACCCTGCAATCATTTCCCCATTTCAGTTCCATCATGTACATCATCTTTTTTGATTAAAAAATCTATAAACCTCACAATTTGAAGATGTCTAATAACAATACACTTGTACATGTACATGTACAAATTACTTGGGGACAGGTGATCTGTCCACTTAAACGAGACAGAGTGGACATAATTTATTTGAATAACTATAAACTTCAAACATGCAGTAGTCTGGCGTGTGAATTATCACCATTTTTTGAGAGGACAAATATCTTTAAACTAATAGTCAATGACTGAAGACTACATTAATAATACTATGAATACCAAGGGAGTTCAAAGTGCCTTCCCAGTTCTTTTGACAGATGCGACAAGCTTAAGGAGGAAGCAAACAGAATACATGACCTGTATGGCCTTGATAATAAGATCAAAGTCATCTTTCAAAGAGCTATCTAAATACAATAGGAAAATTTCAAAACTAAAGAAGGTTCTGGTACGTGTACATGTACAGTGTACATATTATATGCATTGGCAAGTCCAACATTAAAAAATGACAACAACAACAAAGCATTTTCTTGCTGTTCATCAAAAACAGTGTTTAGTTTACAAATATAGATTCCAATCATGAAAGTTTTCAACACTAATAACATGGTATCCTAATAGAAGTTGTGAAAAACTATTTAGTACATGTACATGAAGAGAACATCTACAATACTTGTACACGTACTTTGCGTACATGACATCAACTTTAATAGCCCTGTTCTTGATCACAGTGCTTGAAGTATTTCTGACAAACAACTGGGAAATACCACATTTTAAAGTTCAATGTTCAATTCTGCATGGTATTACAAACACATTGTTGTATGAGTGACAAATTTAGTGATTTTCCAGAGTGAAATTTACTATTAAAAAATAAAAAAAAACTTTTTCTAAAAAAGTACTTCTTACCTACATGTACATTTGTATATTTTATTCTCTCCAACTTTGCTAAATGTTAGCGCAACAACACTTGCTATCAAACTGACTTTGTGGCGATCTAGTTTCTAGTTTCTACATCCAAGGAGTGGCCAGGATGAGAGTACATGTAGGCCCCTACACTCAATACAGGAGACCTTTTAATCTTCTATTAGTCACTGTCTGTCTAGGTAGCCTACCCGTAAGATTGTTAATTGTTTGTTTATTGACAGAATAGGAAAGGATTATACAGGTAGTAAATATGGGCATTGTGTGAATAGCTTGACTCCACCTATAAAACCTTCAATTGTAAACAACCAGAATATTGAACAAGCCTCTCCAAATTTAACATGACATCTAAAGAACTAGCAACAGGCATATTTTAGTAAAATAACAACGCAAAACACAACATACCGGTACACGTAAACAATTTATTAGAACAATATTGTTGTGGTGTACGCTGTATAAGAACACTGTATGAAAGAACAGAAAAGTGAACAGATACATAAATCATCATCCCCACAATTAAAAAATGCATCTATATAATCATAACATCCGCCATCTACATACATGTACGCACAGGTATCAATGGGAAAGGCACTGAACCAAGGACAGTGCGTTGCACCGGTTATCACCGTTGTACAACGATCAACATGCATTCTCTCTATTGTTACCTTAACAATAATAGGTGGGGTGTGCTATGCTATGCACACAAAACACAAAACAAAAAAGGGCTACTTCATCCCAAATAATCTTCACTTGGCAGATGACACACCGCACTTGGGCTGTCCCTTCTTGGGTAGATGCAGGTCGATTTGCTATGAAATTCTATTACCGGTAGCTCAAATTACCAATTCTCTTTCTTATTCAAATCTTTTATATAACAAAAGTGGACACAAGGTACTAGGAACGATTCTTTCCATCCATGTTGGCCTACAACCTATTTGAAGTTTTTTTTTTCTTCTTCTTTTTTTTGAGAATCCTACATCAAGTTGTATTAACACTTCTAGACTCTATTTCAACTTCTTTTTTTTTCTTTTTTTTAAAATGATAAATACATTGCCTGGTGTTCTTCTATGGTAATTTAGTATACAAATCTGTCAGGGGCTATAGATCTTCGTGAAGAGCGGTGAGGGGAGAAAGTGTCTTTCTGTCTAGTCTGGGTACCAGTAGTACAAGTATTAGAAAAAGAGACATTATTACGAACTTTCTTAGATTGTTCCTTTACCCATTGTGGAATGTCATTACTTTTAAACGGTTTAAGACGGTCGTGATGGAGGACTTTGACTTTTCCCTGTTGTTGCGCTTTAATCTCAAACACTAAGTCACTCATTTTTCTGGTTACCACACATGGACCAACCCAGAAAGCAGACTTCAGTTTTGGGGAAAGTCCCTTCTTTCTAGTTGTGTCTAAATAGTAGACTAAATCCCCTGGTCTGTAGGTGTTTACTGATAGTCTCGCATCATAATCTCTCTTCTGTCTCTGAGTTTGTGAGGCAAGATGCTCACGAGTTAAGTTGTATGCTTCCGTCATCGTTGAGACGATGTTGGCGGCGTATTCATGATAGTCCCGGTCGTTGATGTCGGGCTTGTCTACACCAAGTGTTATTTCAATTGGGGTTCTAACCTCACGCCCCAACATGAGAAAATTTGGTGAAAATCCAGTAGTCTCATGAATCGTGCTTCGATAGGCTGATGTCAAGAGCGACAAATTTAAGTCCTAGTTCTCCTGCTTTTTGTCAACATAACCAGACATCATATTAACAAGTGTTTGATTAAATCGTTCAATCATACCGTTAGATGACGGGTGGTATGGTGTAGTCCTTGTTTTCGTTATTTCCAGTAGCTGGCACACGTGCTGGAAAAGTTGGGACTCGAATGTCTTGCCTTGGTCTGAATGTATTTCCAACGGTATGCCCCATCTAGCGATAAATTCATTCACCACGATATTGGCGACAGTACGAGCTGTTTGATCAGGAATCCCATAGGCCTCGATCCATTTGGTAAATACATCTCCCACTACCAAAACATAACGGTTACCTTGGTTACTGATGGTAAATGGACCCATGATATCGAGAGCGACACGATCCATAGGAAATCCAGAGTTATATTTACCAAGAGGCCCCTTTGGTTTCGATGTCGGACGCTTGCGGGCACCACATGTTACACAATTACCAATATAAAGTTTTACAGATTCTCTCATGTTTAACCAGTAAAATCGTTGCTGGATTCTACTGAAAGTCTTCTTTACTCCGAGATGCCCTGATAGCACAGACTTGTGATTAGACTCCAAGATCTGATCACGCAGTGTGAAGGGGACGACGAGTTGTCTAGTAGTAGTTAATTTATGATTAGTGACATGCCGTTTGTATAGAACACCGTCAATCAATTCAAGCTGAGTCCACAAGAGCCATAAATTCCTGACGATTGGGCTTTTGTCATGAACTAAGGCTCGATTAGGTCTTTCAGGAGACTCCGAAATCCATTTGTAGATTATGCCGACGTCGGGGTCGTCACGTTGCATTGTCAACAAAGTTTCTCGGTCAAAATTATCACGCAGGACTTCCCGCTGCCCAGAGTTCCCTCCAGCGATGGCACCTGTGTCCGAGGCGCAGGGCAGGTTATCACTCGCTCTGACATTAACCGATGAATGTTTAGTTCTTGACTTCAATCTCGATGTCGACGCATTTCTCACTACTGAAACTCTAAATGGGGATGGCCAATTCCCTCTCTTCATTACATCAAATCCATCTCTCACATAACGTAATCCTCTAAGCTCTAAAACAACAATATATAAGATAAAATCCAAAACAATCCTCGGAAGTCCACAAAACATCTTAACAACGAATACGACTATGACTAGCATCATGGTGACGATATTAGAGAGTCGACTTGAATGGCTTGAGTCCTCTGGTTTCAATGGCGGCGTCTGGTCGCTGTAGTCACTTACTGATTTCAAGCGTGTTTGCTGCACTCTCATATTGGTAACGGGAACGACATCGTCGTCCTCGTCGAAGAACTGTGACCAGGCCTTGTGCCGCTTCACACATGTTGTACATCCACCGCATGGCAATTGTTCAATGATAGTTTCTTTGTCATAACAGTCACATGATTCTGGGCCACATGGTATTCGAGACGTTGCGTCTGCATTACCATGATTCCTGCCAGCACGATGTTCGATGTCGAAGTCGAACTGGCTGAGAATCTCAATCCACCGGGCAAGCTGGTCTGTAGGTTCGCGAAATGACATAATCCATCTAAGGGAAGAATGATCTGTGAGCACAAGAAATTTCCTCCCAAGTAGGTAATGTCGAAAATGGCGAACAAACGAGACGATTGCCAGCAATTCCCGTCGTGTAGTGCAATATCGGCGTTGAGTTTTGGTCAATGTCCGGCTAGCAAAAACGACTGGTCTCTCAACTTCTCGTTGGGTGACGTCATCCCACTGGATTTGAGATAAGACCGCGCCTATTCCCGAAGAAGATGCGTCGGCATCAAGAATAAACATGCCGTGGTCATCGGGGTAGGCCATGACGTTGTCGCTAACCAGTACGTTTTTCAATTGTTCCAAGGCTGATTTACAGTCGTCATTCCACTCAAATTTACTAGATTTTTCAAGTAGCCTGTTCAAAGGAGCCGCAATTGTCGAAAATCCACGGATGAACCGGCGATAGTAGGAGCACAAACCAAGGAAAGAACGGACATCGCTTATCGATGTCGGTGTCGGCCAGTTCCGCACTTGTTCAACTTTTCCCGGGTCAGGCCTGATGCCAGCCGCGCTGACGACATGTCCAAGGTAAGATACTTTAGTTTGGAAGAGATGACACTTACTTGGCTTTAGCTTAAGTCCTGCTTGTCCAAGGCGCCCGAGAACCTCGTCGAGACGGTTGATGTGCTCCCCAATAGTCGAGCTCATAACAATGATGTCGTCAAGATATAAAATCAAGGTTCGCCACTGAAGGCCTTTCATGATGAGTTCCATTGCACGCTCGAATGTGCCAGGAGCATTGCATAGTCCAAATGGCATCGTGACATATTCGTAGTGTCCAGTCCGTGTACTAAATGCTGTTTTGTGACGGTCCTCCTCTTTAATGTCTATCTGCCAGTAACCTGACTGTAAGTCTAAAGTTGAGAAGATTTGTGCACCTCCTAAGCAATCTAGGCAGTCTTCTATGCGAGGTAGTGGATAGGCATCCTTTCTTGTGACGTCATTTAGTTTTCGGTAGTCAACGCAGGGCCGGGTCGTGCCGTCACGCTTCTTGACATACACAAGCGGGCTCGACCAAGCACTCGTTGATTCCCGAATGATGCCCATTTGCAGTTGTGTCTCAATTATTTTCTCCTCCTCATCTATGAATGCTCGAGGTGGGCGACGAGGTCGCTGCTTGATTGGAGCTGCATCTCCAGTGTCAATGCTGTGCTGAACAATGGAGGTTCGTCCAATATCAGTAGAAGAAGATGCAATTGTAGATGAATGTTTATCCAGCAAGGCAAATAACTGATCCTGTGTATGCGGGTCTAATCCTTCACATGATTTCTGATATAATGTCTGTAAGTCATCTGGCCAGCTCTTTTGCGAAACCTCTTTACTCGAATCAGCCTTTACTGTGCGAATGCTGGGGTTTGAACTCTTGATTACATCATTATTACACATATCACATACATCACTGATTAATTCCATTGAACCTATTCGCATTCCAGCATAAAGATTAATTTCTTCACTTGATGTGTTAACGACTCGCACTGATATGTCAATATCATTCCGAGTTACATCGATGAGACATCCCGCGACATGAACATTCTTTATATTCCACTCATGAGCTGTTTGCTCAATAATAGCACATGCTTGGGAATCAATATCACAATTGTCTATCTTCCCTGGTACAATGAACTCAGATCTGGGCGGCACCACAACATCATATTTCACATAAACTGCACTTCTAATAGAATTACAGTCCTGAAGTTCGATTGGAATCAAAATATTATCAATATGAAGCCCACGTCTGGCCTCGAGGGTACAATTAAGATGGTGCATAAAATCAAAGCCAAGCAGACCTTCATCACTTATATCTGCAATGTATGCATTCCATTCAAAATCTTTAGAACCAACATTCACAGTTGCTCCAATAATTCCATGTACATTGAGAATTCCTTTATCCGCTGACTGGAGCTGAACATGATCCGACAAGGGGATTAATTTTGGGCGAGTTTCTGTGGGCATTTGTTCATACAGTTTTATCGACATAACTGTCACTGCTGCCCCAGAATCGACCAAAAGTTTGCACGAGGCCCCATTCACATTACCTGCAATATACGCTGTTAGTCCGTTCGATTCATCAATGCGAATTATTCTAGGGCCCGATTTAACTCCATGGCCGGCCTCGACCTGGTCGATGAGGTCGGCCCTGTTTAGTTTCCCGAAGTATTGTCCCTGGCTGGTTCTGCTGCCTGTTGTTTCGGTGGTTGCGGCTGGAATGGTACGCGTTGCTGCCACTGCCGGGGTGGCGGGAATTGTTGCTGCGGCAGCTGCGGCTGAAAAGGAAGAGGTTGCTGCCATTGTGGAGGTTGTGGCGGTTGTTGTGGCACCCAGTTCGGTCGACTGCTAAAATACTGGGGTGCAGGAATTTGGCCACCATTTTGGGGTGGTACACGACAGTTACGGGCAAGATGACCAAGCTTCTGACAATTATAGCAACGAGGTGGTGGTCGATCACGAGGTTGCTGCTCTCTCGGCTGTCTCGCTGGTCGTTCTGGATCATCTCGTGGCGGCTGCAGAAAAAGTTTAGTTAGTTGTTCAATTCGCTCATCAATGGAGATGATGCGGCGCCTTAACTCAATATACTTTTCATTGTTCACCGCGTCCTCTGACGTCGCTGACACCGATCGGATTTGTCGAGCTCCTCTGCCGGATTCCTCTTGGAGATGGTGAAATCGCTCAGCAATCTCCCGAGCTTCTTGGAGAGTCGATGGCTCTCGCATCCCTATAGCCATAGCCATAGAGCTATCACCAAGCCCTCGAAGAAAATGGCGGGTCCCGATCATTTCTCTTGTTGCAGCATCCGCCGTCGGGTAGCCAAATGTCGTGAGGCGGCGAATATCTGCAGCATAGTCAGCAATTGATTCCTTCTGACCAAGACGGCGTAATTCTAGCTGCGACACAAACGTAGAAGGCGTCTTCCTTGCAGCAAAACGATGCTCGAGCGCAGATATCAAATTCACGAAGTCAGCGATGTCGTCGGGGGCGAGCTGCTGGAAGACAAAATCGGCTGCATCACCTCGGAGACAGGTGAGAAGACGAACACGCTGCTCTGACTCCTCCCAGCCACAAGTAGCTGCGAGGTTTCTGAAAGACGATATAAAACTCTCCCATGATCGTCCTGTACCATTATACGGCTCTTGGGGTGGTAATTGGACTTTCACTCCAGTGTGAATGGACACCTCATTTCCATCTCTCTATATCCATTCAGTATTTTCACTGGCATCATTGTCATTGTCGATATCATTCGGCTTGCCGATTTGTTTCTTGGCGATGCTGAGTTCTGCCTTTAACTCCCTGATCTCTCTCTCAAGATCGGCTTTTCGTTTCCTCGGAGACATTGTTTCGTATTTAAGCACGTGTTAAAGTCTGAATCCCACTTCTGACACCAGTGTAACGGCGACTTATATTGTTCGACAATAGGAAGTAAAAGTCCCAAAATATATTAGCCCCGTTACATGTATATGTTGAAGTTAAGTTGTTAGGAGTGGCCGAGATTCAGGGAGAATAAACACTCGAGAGGCAGAAATTACAGTTGAGGAGTTTATTACAGCAAACCCAAACACATTTACAAGGATGGATAAAAGAGAATGTCTTGCGAATCAGAGAGGCAAAATAATGCAGCAGGCATTAGAACAGGCTAAAAAGATAGACTAACATGACTGGAGACCATTTCTGAACAGGTTGGCTCTCAATCCCATTCGTAGAGTACTCTCGCTTCAAACACTGTGATGACAGGCTTGTCACACTAACTGACACAATTAACTCTCGACAGCTCACTAGTTTGACTCTTCACTGACAGATTCTTCGCTCCTAACTGCCTAAGATACGAAAGCAGTCTGTCTTATATACCCTTCGAGAGAGATGGAGAAAGACCAGTCATGTAGGTCACAAGTATCGCGCTGCGGAGTATTTAGGAGAAGGGCGTCATTGAGCACATAAATAGAGAGCTCAAAGTCATATTGAGAGAGAGGATACAAGGACAGGAGAAAGTCAAGACAAGAAGCAAGCTGAAAGGGCTGAAGGACAGTGCAAGGTTGAAATGAGAGTTTCGGGCAAACAAGAGCGAAGGGGAAAGAGCGAGAGCTCTGAAAGTCAGGCAAAGTCAAAGTGAGAAGGGACAGAGTGAAAGTTCTGAAAGTGAATGCAAGGTCAAAAGTGAGGAGAGAATAGAACTCCGCTGTATGCAAAGCAATTGGGATCGAGCTGGCTGGATTTGTAATAGCGTAATTATAGCAAGACATCCTTAACATAGACTAGTACAATAATCATGGATAGTTGTAAAGTAGACTAAAACATGGAATAAAATATATACATAATATTACATCAAATATCTTAATCAAACTGCGTGACAATATGTCCCAGGAATGGCACCTCTTTGACATATAACCTGGACTTCTCACTGTTGAGGATCATTCCGAGATCCTGGCATCGTTGGAGCAGTTGGTTGAGTCGATGATCGTGCTCGTTGATATCATCACCCCATACGATGATGTCGTCAGCCACACATCGTACACCTTGCATCCATCCAGTGCCTGGTGAAGTCGTTTTTGAAAGATTTCACTTGAATCCAAATGGTAGCCTTTTCCACCTGTACCTGCCCCAAGGAGTAGCGAAAGTAGTAAGTGTGCTAGACTCTTCGTCAAGAGGGCAGTGAAGATACCCATCTTTCAGATCACAGATGGAGAATGTCGCCGCCTTGGTTAAGCAGGGCTGGAATGTCATCAGGCACTGGAAGTGTGTAGCGCTCCCTCTTCAGTGCTTCATTGAGTGGTCTAGAATCAATTCAGATTCTGACTTTTGCAGATTTCTTTTGGGCAATTGCGAAACAACTACGTGTGCTGTTGCAATGAATTTAGTATGTGTGTGAAGAGGAGCTCTTCCGTGTGTACTCCATTGCAGCGAATTTGCAAATGACGCACTAGCTCGCCGATATGTAAGAGGTATTTATACGATACCCTTTCCATGCGGTAGCGCTCGTCCAGTATTCGGTCAATGCATTGACATTCAGCGCTTTGTCGCCAATTGTATGAAAAAAGTGTGCAAATACGCTTCGCTCCTTGGCAACGGAGATACCACGCGCAAAATCGTGTGACCGAATTCTATTCGGCGCGACCGAATTGCTCCGTCTTCTTGCGGAAATATTTTTCTTATCATCATTCTATATTTTAAGTGACTATAAAATCCTGTTAGAGGAATAATTTTCTTTTCTTTCGATGTGTAGATAAAAGAGGTAAGAATTCCCCTTAAGTGACCGAATACCGGGCGCGCTCACTCCGCGCGCTACCCTAGTACTATGGTGGTGTGACCAAAGTTCGTGCGTGACCTAAGTTCGCTATCTCAAAAAATCAGTAAGATTTAGAAAATCTGATATCACCAATGGAAAGAGGAACATAAAATTACCCAGAGATAAAATTTTCTTTGGAATTGGGTACAAAATTGTGAAATTATTGACATAAGATCGGCAAATTTTGCAATCTTTTGCGTCCGTTCCGAAAAATTATCAATTTACCGATAAGGGTCTGAAAATCTTCAATTTGAGAGCAGATTTCCTCAAAATTGTAAGTAAAAAGTGGTACCATTTTACCAACGGATTGTAGAGTCTTAATCTGGATTGGTTCAGGAGCTATTTAGCTGACAGACAGCAATTCGTATCCATAACTGGTTTTGATTCAGAGTTACAAAATGTCAGCTGTGGAGTCCCACAGGGATCACTTCTTGGTCCTCTTTTATTTATTCTTTATATAAATGATTTTCAATATTCTTCTGATGTATTATTCTTTATTTTGTTTGCAGATGATTCAAGCATATTTTTTTCACACAAAGATGCACAAGTTCTTGTGCAAACAGTTAACTCAGAGTTGCGCAACATTACCTCATGGATTCATGCTAATAAACTGTCTCTTAATCTTACAAAAACCAATTATATGATATATAGCAATTCGCTCAAGATTTTGCCCGGTGACATTATGTTCAACGGTGTTCTGATAGACAGGGTAACATCAACTAAATTTTTAGGTCTTTATATCGACGAACAATTGAAGTGGAAAACGCATGTAAATAATCTATGCAAAATATTATCAAGGAATACTGGTGTAATTCGTAGGTTGAAGTCTACTCTTCCTAAAAGCATATTACTTATCTTGTATTCAACTTTAATTCTACCTTATATTAATTATGGTGTGCTTGCTTGGGGCAAATCTCTAATAACACAATTAGATAAAATATTCTTGGCTCAAAAGAGGGTAATAAGAACAATCTGTAATGCTGACTTTCGTGCTCATACAAATCCTCTTTTTTTATCATCATAGGATATTAAAGGTAGAAGATATTTATTATTATGCAATTGGGTTTCTTAATGTATGATCTCAACTCAGGTGTACTGCCACTGGCATTAGCCAAGATTTTCAAGAGAAACAATCAAATTCACAATTATGCCACAAGAAGTGCTTCTGCATTCCAATTACCCCATGTAAGGACAAAGTTTACTCTCAGCACTTTAGTTTGCACTGGACCAAGGATTTGGAACACTCTTGACTCAAGCATTAGCCATTCTGTCAGTATATCTGTCTTCAAACGTAAACTGAAATTGTACTTATTGAATAATTACTTAGTTGTTTCTTAATCTATACTGTCGTGATTTATATTTGAACTTAATCCATTCCTCAATTTACTACTGTATAGCAACTGCCGACTTACCTTTTCCTTTTTCTTTCCTTTCTCGCCTGTAGCTAGCTTTCAGTTTACAGTGAAAGTATATATTTGTTTTTCTTTCTCCCCCCACTCGAGCTCTCCCTCTCTTTCCCACTCCCGCCCCCTCTCTCCATTTCTATATCCCACATTAGTATCACTCTTATCTCCCCCTTTTGTACATAGTCTCTTCTCCCCACCCTTTTTAATTACTCAGTTAAACCATATGTATAATCATATGGTTATTGTTTATATTTATTTGTTTTAGTACTCTAGCGCCTTTGACGAACATTTCTTGTATTAATCTATTATATAACCAGGCTGTTCTTGTTGTTGTTGGCTATATGTTATTGTTTTTGAGGGACCTGACCTCTACAAGCTAAGCTTTAATTAGGTCTCCTCGTCTTTTCTTCTTTTGTTTTCTCATGTAAATGCATTGTATGAACTTGATTCTTATAAGTGTTCCTCTTATATACGTTGCATGTTATACATTTGTTAAATTGTATTAAATTTATGTTGGAGAGAGACAAATAAATTTGAACTTGAACTTGAACTTGAACTATTTTCAGATTTTAATGTTTCTTTTTCTTTTTCCCGCCTTCTTTTAGCTAATATTTCTCAGCTTTTAATGCTTTAACATATGTGCTTCAGCGTCGTCATTCCATTGGTATCTTTTCACCTCTTAATTATCCATGGTTTGCATGAGTGAGGATTGTGGAATAATTTGATTGTAAGCATTTATATCCCATTTAAACAAATAAAATGTATATATTTGTATTCATTAATTAAAAAAAAATCTAAAAAACGGCTTTAAAAAAAAAAAAAAAAAAAAAAAAAAAATGCCGACCGTAGATTTTCTGATTTGTGCGTCGGTCGCAAAGGGCAATACAACAAGTTTTTATTTTAGGCCCTTTGTGTATCTTTCTTGCTCCCTAGACGAGACGACTCCACCCAACAACCCCCTCTCTCTCTTACTCCCACCCTCCTCTCTCATGCTCTTATACCCCTACCCCCTTCTATCTCCTCTCTTTCACCACCTGTTTCCTAATGATAATGTCTACTTAATGTCTCACGTTTTACTCCAAATTTCCGTCTAGCAGGTTGGCTAGGAAGATTTTACTGTGCGTTTTGTACACACTACCACGCAATGAACGATAAGGTCAATATATTTACTGTACGTTATTTGCTGTTTTCCGAGTATTTGGCTGTAATCGTTTTTTCTCGGTCGGATTGGCCTTTTAATAATTGTCATCTCAATAGAGAAAACAGACTCGCATATACATACCTTCGTCTAGGTAACCTAAGGTTTGCCTTGCATTCACCTGTTGGCTTCACTGCCTATGAAATAATCCGAAATTGATTCTTGTCCCGTGACTATAATCCACGAGGGAATGGACTTGTCCGTACTCCTTGTAATTTCGGAAAATAACCAAAACGGTTCAGATAGTGACGGCCTACGTGCATGACGTGTCTGGGTATGATAAACATCAAAGGGGTGTCGGTGCCACTATTTACATATTTCAAATCATGACCCGCGTGCAACCACTCAACGTAAGATGTAGTTGTTTGCAAAGTAAAATAATTATTACCTGATATCACTTAACGATTTATTTGGCCAAAGTTTCGTTTTTATGGTTAAATATTGATATTG